AGGGAATCCTCTATGCAGGAAGACACGTGGAGGTTGGAAGGACTTGCCTGTTGGCAGCATGAGCCAGGCGAATGCAGTGGACTCTCTGTGGAGGCTGGTGGACCAAGTTTGAAAAAATGGGTGGGAGGTGATTTATCTTCAGATTTGGCAGGTCTGAGCGGAAGGATAGCGGTAGTTAGTGATGGAGCGGTTGTAGTTACGGATGATAATAGGGGGTTCGCGAGTTCGAGAGCAAGACAAGTGGTTAAAGGCCTGTCAGCTGAGTCCTCAGAAAGGCTTTGATGAGTCAAGTGAAATCCTATGGTGGTGGGAGTAGGGCCGGGCGCTGATGGGGGAGATGGGTGACTGTTATTTGTGTTAATGCCAGCAATGATGGGTTGGCAAGCTGCTAAGTCGGAGGGCAGGACCGCGGCCGATTTGGCCAGAGCTTTGGTGGCTGATGCGACGGCCTGTGAATCCGCAGCGGCCGCCTTGGCAGCCTCGGCCAAGGGGGGGGAAAGGCGTAAATGGCATGACAGGGGTAGCTCGGTTGGGGGATTAGAATCAATCAATCTAGAAGGAGCGTCGACAAAGCAGAGTTCAGACCTATTGAAAGTAGAGTGTTCGCTGATCGGAGACGTCAAAACGACTGCTGCAGATGTAAGGGATGGATATGATGGTATTGTTGATGAGGCTTTTGCCTGAGTGAGGATAGGCTGCAGCTCGGAACTGGAATGTAAATCTTTTGAGAGTTCAGAAAAGACATCAGGACTAGGTGCAGCAATGATAGCTGTTAGCGCAGTTACCTGTTGAGTTGTACCAGAAATGGTTTTCGGCACAGATGTGAGTAAATAGCCAGGAGTGGTGAAGTTCTGACAAGAAACCGAGGATGTGTTGTCAATGGAGACTATGCCTGTTGGTTCAGTGACCTTGACCAGATCTATTAGATGGAGACCCTCTGAGACAAGCCTGCAGGTAGGTGGGGATACTGTCGGTTGAATTACTTGAGGCTGGCTAGTCCTTCTATCTGAAGCAAGTTTAAGAGTTGCCTCAAGTTCGCCTGGGTGTGATGTAGAGATTGCGACATATGTAGTTTCAGACGAATTAGAACTAGTGAGAGGTAAAAGAGAAGTAGATTGGGAAATTGAGGGTTCGCTTCGCAAAGAGGTAGATCTAAGTGCCTGTGTTATTGTTGGGCCTATTGATGTTGGAATCGTAGCGAGTGAGGAGAGTGAAAAATTATTCGCAAGTTCTTCCGATAGGTCCTTCGGAATGTTAAGGGGTTTTACAGTCGAGTCAGTAACTTTGGAAAGGAAAGGTGAAGTGTCTCTGCTTAAGGTAGACTCTTGGCTGACGAAGGCGAGTGGCACAGAGCAGGCGACTGTGGAATTGACCCGCGAAAGTCTAATGGCATCATCCGAATTGGTAAGAATAACAGGAGATGGAGTGGGAGCAGTAGAAAGAATGGAAGTCGGTTGTACCAAAAGCTGTGGTGTAGATGGCTGCGCAGTTGATGGAACAGAGGGAGGATTTTGCGAGACCTGGGGTGGTATGATCTGATGAACGGAAGTAGCCATTCCAGATTGACAGCGATGCAGAAGGCTTTGCATAGTAGGAGGGCCATTCTGCAAAGCCATGGGAGTTGTCGGTATAGGTGTGGAAGTCATCCTGACACTACAAGCAGCAGTTGAAACAGTGCTAACTGCAGTCGTGACGATGATAGGGGAAGATACGACGGGAGTAGGAAGAGCAAACGTGTTGGAATATTCTACCTCATGCCAACCAGACATGCAGGAGAGGCCGACGGAAGTGGAAATTGGCAGGAAAGCTCTGACCTCATTGGAGGCCAAAGTTTTCTTTTGCTGATCTACAGGTGCTCTTACAGCCACTATTGATGATGAAACAGAGCTAATGTCAGTGGTCAGCGGAGTGGAATCCAGTATGGGAGCAGGACCTGAATTCGAAGACGTGAGAGCAGAAGGATGATGTAGATGATGCTGCTGCTGCTGAAGTAATATCTGTTGTTGTCCCTGGCTACGTTGGTGTCGTTGCTGCTGAATCTGCAGTTGTTGTTGCTGTTTCTGGTGTAATACTCCGAACGCTAATATAGAACTGTTTTCCTGAGCATAAGCCTGCCCGGATGAGAAGAGCCCAGCAGGAAGGCTAGGTGGTGGTGGTGCCAGATGCATAGGAAGCCGACTGCCTATACCATTGGCTAGGCCAGCAGCGCCGGCTGCAACTGCGGCCTTGAGATTAGCCTGCAGAGTGGATACGTACTGGATCTGATAGGCAGTGTAGTCAAGCTCTTGACGGAGGATGCCACTAAGGATAAACTCCTCGTGATGAACAGCTTACGATTATAATTGAATAGGGGAAAAATAGCAAGTAAAAATAAATATCTGAGTGCAAGAAATTAAGAAAAAAGGATCACAGAAAATTTCCTCATTAGCGACTTTCAAAATATGCCCAACAAAGCGTTGTGAAATATTATACAAATTAGATACAGTGTTAGGAGAAGAGAGGATAAATAAAAGATAAT